AGGCCAGAATGTGTAGGATGGAGAATGCGATTGTTAATCTAATTGGCATGGTGGGCTCAATGGTTAGCATGATGCAAATGTTTATGGGTGGATCGTTTCCTAAAACATCAAATTACCAAGAGATGGACAATGATGCTGCTGTTGGAGTAGTTGTTGAGGAAAAAAATAAAATTGACTTGAATGAAAATATAAATGCCAACTCCTGTGATGAAGTGGATGTGGACTACTGGATTTGGACACCCATTGCCGCTGTCCGCACCCCACCACCAAAACCATTCCATGAGGCATGGCGACGTCCATTGAATACTAGTAATGACGAATACAAACATAATAACGTTGGTGACGTGCAAGAGGCTTCTTACTCATGCACTCAAACGCCATTCCCACCAATGCAGTTAAGAAGAGATTCTAAAAGGAGGCCAAGCAAATATGTGATTTTACCATATGAACAGCCAAAGGTATAACATACATCATACTTAATGTATTAATTACATTATACATTATCGTCACTTATACTTTGCTCCCTTCAACTACAACATCGTTGGGTGAAGAAGGATGATAAGAAAGAGGGCAAGGGGGAGGCGAATAATCCCCCGGATTACATTCAACCAAGCTTGGACAATTCCATGCATATAGTGGTAATGCATAAGGTTATGACACCGTTTATTATTATCCAATTTTTTTATAGTCATATATTCAATTTCTTTGTGCACAGGGCGGTTATGACATGAATTATTATGACAACATGACATCGATCGATGTGTACAAGACTCTGCCTAATCCTGGTAACAAACTGAAATTGTCTTGTAATAGTGCATCAGTTGCTGAAATTCTTAAGGTTTGATTTTTTCCATTGTTGATTATGTGACAAACTTGAATGGTAGTTTAATGTCACACATTTCGTACACAGATTTCAGATTCTACTTTGGGTATTCCAGAGCACGTTGAGGAATATGAAAATGTAGACATACTTTATCCTGAAGATAAGCAATTGATTTTGAATTACATATTTGACAAGAATCTTGACAAGAGGTATATTTATGTTAAATGTAAACATTGAAACATTTTAAAATATGTATTAATATGTGATCGAAAATAGTTGTATGATGGAATTTTTTTTTTAATACTTTTTTAATTTTTTTTTTTAAAACAGAGAAGTTTTAATTAGGTTTGAACATGACCATACTGGACGTCATTCCCTCATGACATTATTAACAAAGCAGTGGTTACTTGATTCGTTTGGTAAATTTGGTGTTTTTCAACCAATATATTTTTCTTTTTTTAATTACAATAACGTAAACCAATTGAATTTTACTTTGGTATTTTCCTATGACCGTAATAGGTTGTGGACTTGACCCACAATTTGTTAGCTAAGGAAGATAAGGTCAATCCAAAAACCGGATTAGAGAGGTGGTACCTACCCACGTGGTTCTCGGTAATAAAAATATGTTTATTCGTAGAACTTTATTTTAATTTAAAAAAAAATTACATACAATTTGTTGATTATAATTTTGTTTGTTGTATTCAGCAACAGGCACAATGTCGGGCTGTGGGTAACAGTGAAATGAAAAAAACATTGTTGCATTCTATGTGCTGTGAGTGGGAAGTACATAAAAGATTTCTTTGCCGGCATCAAAAGCACACAACGCTCAGAAAGCTTGAATAATTACTTGAATCGTTTCCTGAAAACAAGGCTTCGTTTGTATGAATTTGTTAGACAGTATGGTAGGGGTGTATCAAGAATCTGAGAAACCGAAGCCTATGACAATCATTATTCTGAAAATAGTACCCCAGTGTTGACCACTACACTACGCTGCTTAGAGCAGCACGCTGCCTCACTGTATACCAAGTCAATTTTTTTTAAAGTGCGGGATCATATAAAGGCCGAAGGACTCTTCTTTGTGATCCAAAAAATTGAGCACAGTACTCATTCGAGTTATTATCTGTTGAAATACACAAAACCAACATCCAGTTGGAATGTGATATATGAATATCAGACTCACACCATCAAATGCAATTGCCTAAAATTACAATATGTTGGACTTCCTTGCTCACACATCATAACAGTTTTGAAAACTGAACACATAACAGAGTTCCCTCCTTGTACTATTCTAAAACGATGGACAATTACTGCAAAATCCGCTAGCCCACCGAGCTTTGTGCCTGAAACGTCAACAACCATATCAATTTCTTGTCGTTATGCTGGATTAATGTCAATGTGTAGCCGGATGTGTTACTACGGTACACAATTGCCTGAGGACGCACATGAGCTGCAATCGAACAACAATAACTGCAATAACCAACCGCATGAAATAACGTCATGATACACTCGAAGCAAGACAGGTGTTAGCATCACATGACACACATAATAACATTGTGTCGAACAGAAAATATGGTGTCGTCGATCCCAAGACAGTGACAACCAAAGGCAATCCGGGCCTTATACGGAAGAACCTACCAATAGCTCCACGACGATGTAGTAAATGTCGTGGCACTGGACATACTATTCGTAGGTGTCCGCAGCTTACATGCCTTGCGGACGACCCCCATGATGGCATGCCCTTCTCACAACCTGGTAGCTCCCAACATCCCATGCCATCAACTCAAGAACCCGACCAATGGAATCCAACTTACAATTGCAATGTCCTTTGATATCAGGTTTCATACATTATAACATTTTAATTACTTTGGGAAATTCATCAAATTACCAACACGATTTTCATTTTCGTTTTTAATTTTTTTTAACAGCAGGTGAGGGAGACACAAAGGCTGTTGAGGGGCACTGAATGATGAGAATGAAAAAAATTATGAGTGCTTTGCAGATTGACCTTTCTCGTAAGCTGAAAGTTAAATGTAGATTGGTACAGTGGAGGAGCGAAGGTGTTGGATCATTGAAGCTTAATACAGACAGGGCTTCCAAGAAAAACCCAGGGATTGCAGGGAGAGGAGCTGTGGTGCATAATGAATGGGGTGGCATTGTTGTGGCTGCCTCATTTTTTGTATGGGCAGTGCTCTAACATCATTGCAGAATTTAGAGCATTGTCCAATGGATTGAAGCTTGTTTTGGCATATGGTTTGACTTGTTGCAGGTTTGAAATTGAATGTCAATAATCAGAATTTTGGTGAATGATGTTCTGGGTATTACTGACTATCTGTGCACATGTTTGAGCTATTTGACACATATCAGTGGCTTCTTGAGGGGTCTGCATTATAGCTTGGTGCATATTTTTCGGGAGGTGAATGCGAGTGATGCTGATACTCTTGCTGGGCAGGCGGCAAAGAGTAGGAATTCAGTTGATTTTTCGATGGGTTTGAGATTGCCTTGTGATGTTACCTTCGTTCTGTTATCTGATCAACAAAGTCTCCCTGTTTTGCAAAAAAGAAAGAGGGTGGTCTTCGACGATAAGGTGTAATAGGAGCTGCTGCTGCAGCTTTTGTCTTGGATTATTAAGTGTTGATTTGTTTGAAACAATGGGAAAAGATAAAAAGCTCTTTATTGTTGATACGTGCTTATGGATTTGGACTGTGATGGGGATTTTTGCTGAAACTTTGGAGTTTGATGTTGTGTAGTTTATGCTTTGCATTGTTAGTTTTGCCTTTTACTGGGTATGAATGGGCGTCTGTGCCTTTTCCTTTGTTTCTTGTCAATATTTTGCATTATGAATAAATAAAATTCCCTTTTGATTAAAAAAAGTAATAATAATAAGATCCCTGCTTTTGATTCAATTGTGCACGGACCAATAGATTAATACTTCTTTAACATTTTTTAGGTGAGTATGACTACATGTGCTTTGTACTGCTTTTCTTGACAATATATTGATCAAAGAAGTAATTACAAGAAGCAAAGAACAAACAGTTCTACAAATTTCAAAAATAGTTGTAATCCTTCAAGATGATTAAAACCATATTAAGCTACAAAATTGTGTCTGCTAATCTTCAGTCCAACTCTTGAACTCCCAGACAGCTCCTGATGCAGAATCCCCAAATCAGAAATAAACCAGTACAACACCCATTCAGTCCCAGCTGGTTTGCTATGTACCCAAACTCAGCTCCTGCACCTTTGGTAACAGCCCAGCTCACAGCAATAGTCTGCTAGAATAGCAGACAACTATTGAAACAAAGCAAAACAACAAACCAGTCCAGCAGCCAAGCATTAAGACCAGGACTAACCCTCCACATTAGCATCCCAGCAGCTATCTTCAAAGTCAATCCACCAGAAAATACAAAATCCATCATAAATAGACCAATGCAATCCAGTTCAAATAAAAAACCAAGACTCAGCTCTATACACCAACTGCCCAGACACAAAACTTGCCCACACAGTCTGGCAGAATATAAATCATCACAAAAATTGGCTTTAATCCTTCAAAAGGCTCAAAGCAACTTATCCTCCAACTACAAACAAGACCCCATGCTCAGCACACTATCACCCCAGACACATACTAGACCAATCAGATCAACTGCCCAGTCTTCCATCAACCGTTCTAACCTCTCCTCCATCATCCAAATCCTTGCCTTTGGTCACAAACCACAAGTCTCCTTTTCCTTGTAGTACTCAGTCCAAAATGATCCTGATGAAGAATTAATCTGCCAGACTGGTATGAGAAGATAACTCAGTAGATGTTCCCATCTGAACAGCAATAGAGGCCAAAAAATCAGCTAAAACATGTCAACGTTTCTAACTACTAGTCAATATATTTAACAACCATCCACCCAACATCTACAGCACCCTTGCCAAAATGCCAAATATTACTATAAAACAAAAGATTCACAAAAACAAAATACACAAAACCAATGTGTCATTTGTTGATGTACTCTTTAAAGTCCTTATAAAAACAATCTAATTATGACTCCAGACACTGCAATGACCCTTTCGTTTCATCCTCAAACTTTTCAAATCAGGCCTCCAACTTTTCAACCATTTGTTGAAGTGGTTGTCGACCCTCACTAGTGCCAGCATCAGAACCAACTTGACTAGTCCCAGCTTGACTACCCACAACCTAAGGCACCGCTGCTGCCTGCTTCACACACTTGCCCTGTTTCACACCCAGAATAGCTTCCACACTTTTATTAAGTGTACCCATACCCATTGGATTCATGGGATAAATAAAACTGTCATTCTGCTGAAATTCAACCACATTATGCTTCAAAATCTTGGAAACTAATATTGGAAATGGAAGACATGGCCTGTCATCCTCAACAGCAGATGCTTCACGAACATGGTTGAATATGTAAAGGGGTAGATCAATAATAACCTCATGTTCCGCAATAGCATATAATAGTTGGGCCGTATCGTATGCAATCTCAACAGTATGCCCCCTCGGATGTATATTACAGGCAACAATTCGGTTTATCATCCTATACGTTGGAGTAAGGTCAGTGTGAGCAATTTTACTTTTCTCATTCTCCCAAGGGACACTCCCAATACAAATACGTTGAATAACCGTCGCCATTTCAGGAGCCTGCTCCTTACTTGAATATGGAAAGACAATGGAATTCTCAGGAATGTCTGGTCTATCAATTTTTAATATATTTGAAATAAGATCAGGCGAAACAGTGATGGATTTCTTCCTAACCAGTGTCTTAAATGTCAGCTCATTCTCATTTTACTCATGAACATTTGCATAAAAAAACTTAACCAGTTCAACATATGTTTTATCATCCACATTCACATCACACAAAGGTTCCCATTTCCGAGCCCGAAGTATTTTAAGGGAATCCACCCTCCCTACTAGCTCATCAAGGTAAACACCACGCTCAATTAACAGAGGACGTTTAACAATGAATGAATCATACCTCTTCTTAGCATCTTTATCCACAAAGAGTTTGGCATTCCCAGAACTCTCCCTGCTAACCACCTTCTTCCGTTTCTTCTTCGCTTCTCCGCTCGACATCACCACAGCTCCAAATGTGATTCTTTCACTCTTCTTCAACAACAAAGATTCACAATGCAAATTTTCACTCTTCTCCGAATGAAGATTGAGGTTTATGGAATTGGGAGATTTTGAATGGGTTTTATAGGATTTTCAATGGATTTTGTAGGATTTTTAATGGGTTTGAAATGGGTATTGTCGGATTTGGAAGGGATTTTGAATGAGAATGGAAGGCGCAAGCGCGCAAGCAATTTAGGTAAATACATCAACTTTTGATCTATCCTATTTATTTTTGATCGATCGCAATCTCACTTGCTCCTTAAACTTCTCCAGCAGTAACTCCTTGATCGATCATTATACATAATTGATCGATCGCCATCCCACTGGCACCATAACCTTCTCCATCACTAACGCCATGATCGATTAATATACATAATTAATTGATCGCAATCCCACTGGCACTATAACCTTCTTCATCAATAACTCAATGATCGATCAATTATGTATAATTGATCGATCGCAATCTCACTGCCACCACAACCTTCTCCATCACTAACGGCATGATCGATCATCATACATAATTTATCGATCGCAATCCCACTGGCACCATAAGTTTCTCCATCAGTAACTCCATGATGGGTCATTATACATACTTGATCGATCGCAATCCCACTTCCCCTTCAACTTCTTCATCAGTAACTCCATGATCGATCAATATACATAATTGATCAATCGCAATACCACTTCCCCTTCAACTTCTCCATCATTACCTCCATGATCGATCATTATACATAATTGATCGATCGCAATCTCACTGAATTTCAACATTTCTCAATCTTGTTGTAATTATACCATTAATTTTGTACTTTTACCTAGTAATATCGTTAACATCACAATTTTTTAGAAAAAACACCTTATTAAGCCACTATGATCGATCATTCATATTCTTGATCGGTCAAATTATATATTTATTTATTTCTTTCCAAAATTCCATTTTCTTACGCAACACCTTTCCGCATAATGATCGATCATACATTTATTCGATCGATCATATATTATATTGATCGATCATCCATTACATTGACTACGAGTCGTAAATTTTTCCACTTTTGTTGTAAATATACATTTGCTTTTGTACCTATCTCATTACTTTTTTACATTTCTTACTGATGTCATAAATACACCATTGTCATTGTACTTGGTTCCACTCACTTTGTAATAATACTATTATCTTTGTTATTGTACCCATTAATGTTGTAAATCTTTTTGTAACTCACTCGTTGTTGTGGAGTCATAAATTTTTCCACTTTTGTTGTAAATATACCTTTACTTTAGTACCTATTCCATTAATTTTTTACATTTCTTACTGATGTCGTAATTACACCATTGTCATTGTACTTGGTTCCACTCACTTTGTAATAATACCATTATCTTTGTTATTGTATTCATTATTGTTATAAATCTGGCATGTAATATTGTAAATATTCCGTATAACTCACTCATTTCTGTGGTAACCAGTTGTCATCCGGTTGCCTTGCTTTTGCTTTACACGTGTCAATTTCTGCATCGTTCTGCAGTGACAAAATCAGCTTTTAGTCCCCCTTTGATGTTCGATATGATACCGAAATTCTCAATGGATGTACCGCAGTCCAGTCCTTCAAGTTAATTGTAGAGTTAAAAAGGAAAAAATTAATGGTGGAGGATCTGGGAGTATACGTGTGCTAGGTTTTCTATAGCTGTTCAAGAATAAAAAAATTTTTTGTCTCATTTACACCGAAATGACTGAAGGTTTTGCTGCAAAATGGATTGGGGTGATTAATGGTGACATCACAGGTAGAGTTTCACTGTTAACTACGCATGTGTAAATTTCTGATACTTTCTTCTTCTTTTTTAAGTTTGTAAAATGAAAATTTTGTGTCTTGTAGGATCAGGATCGATGCTAGTTTGATTTGGGAAAGATTTGGCATATTGCAAAGTTTGAGAAAGCAGAAAAAGGAAGTTTATTTAGCGAACGATTATTATTGTGTCCTATTTGTTTCTTTTCTAATGTTCTTGGTGAAGAAAATACAATTAGGCAAACTATTTTTTTAATTAATTTGAATATTTTGGTCTTTATTTGTGCATTCCTTTTTAGCATTTTGATTTTGTTCCTTATTTTTTTGGTATTGATTTATCGTTTGCTAATAGGCAACCTAAATGAAACCCAAAAAATACAATTTAAATATATATCATTCTTTAAATGAGTGTTGTATGAGTGATGTTATACGAGTGGGTTTCATCGAAAAAGTTGATAGAATTTGTTTGTCCAATAAATAATATTTATTTAAGTTATAATTTTTTGAGTTTTATTTAAATTTCGTAACACTATTCCAATTTTATAATAGTTGCACTTGTTAAGCACGAATCCAATGTTGTGCTGGGAGGCGGAAAATTTGTCTGGAAACGTCACCGTCGAGAGAGAAGAAAACTATTTTCTGAAGCATTTCAACAAACAGCTTACATGCAAAACAATTTAAATGCAGTTTATATTTCAATCACAAACATCACATAAAAAATAAATAAAATTCGAATCTAAATTTTTTGGAACTAAATGATAAAAAAAATGCTAAAAATGATGCAGTCCAAAACCATCCATAGAAGCACAAACAAAACAAAGGCTTTGATAGAGGAGCAACAACTACAAACTACAATTTGAAATGAATAAAGAGATGTACTTGGCGATGGCAGAAAAGACCCTGCTCGGCGTGGACTGCTGGTAGTTAGTCGATGAAGGATAGCTAGTGAAGGATCTAGGCTCTAGCGCTGGTGGCTGACAGGGACAGAGAGGAGGCGTAACAAAATGGTGAGTTACGTCGTTGGGTCTGGGTCAAGGGCTGTGTGTGGTCACTGGACAAAATGGTGTGGTGGAATATGTCGCCGGATCTCAAAATTCTGACCGGAGATCTGAAGCTTCAGGGTCGACGTGTGTGTATGACAGAGACAGTGTGTTAAGCGGCTGATCGGAGGGATCTGACCGGAGTTAAGGCTGCGTCGCCGGATTTGGTTTAGTCGATGGTCCACCTGTGTGTGAGTGAGAGAGTTAAGGGTGAAACTTGGATTGGGTTTGAGTCAAAAACTCCAATCTGAATTCAATTTGGTTTGGACTCGGGTTAAGGTCTCGGGTTCACAGGTTCAATCCGAATCCGACAAGTTAAAAAAAAAATTATATATATATATAAAATATTAGCACTGATTTTTCATTTTTGTTTTATTGTTCTCTGTCTCTCTTGTTCATTTTCATTTTTGTTCTAGCATTAGTACCATTAAAAACTTGGTTAAAGTTATTAGTTGTTAATTTAGGTGAATATTATATAATATATGTATTAAATTTAGAACAACAAACCTATTTTGGGCTCTACCCGAATTGAATCCGTAGAATAACCTGAAATCAGTCCAAATTCATTAACCCGAATTCAACCCGAGTCCAACTGAATTAAACTCCGGCAGTGCTCGGACTGAGTTCCTCAACCCGAGGTAGGGTTAGGGTTAGAATTAGGGTTAAAAATTATATACTTAGAGTTGAGGTAGGGTTGATTGTCCAACCCGCTCGAGTTACACCCCAAGAGAGAATTAAGTATTTAAGAAAGTGTATGAGATAATTGGGCAGGAAAAAAATTTCATGAGTTAAGGGTAACTATTAAATCAAGTCTAGATAAATTTGGATAAATCTAGATCGTGAAAAATAAAAATTATTTTATTTATTTTTTGAAATTTGTATTTTATTATATACATGGTTTTTCTATAAATTTTTATCGCTCATTCTGTAAATTTCAATAGAGTAATTTTTATTAAAATAAATAATTAAAATTAAAGAAATGATTACATTATAATATTTTTAATTTATTAAAGGTGTAATATAAAAAAATTTATTCTCTCAAAATAAGAATAATTTTTTGGGGTGGGGCTCCTCTACAGTTAAGGTTTAACTGCAAAGTTTGCTGTTAAGTGGAACAGTGTCGTTCCACTCAAAAACAAAGAACCCAGCAACAAGTTCAACAACATCGTCCAAAGGCAGTGGGTTTTCACCAATAACGACATCGTCCCTCATTCCCTCCTCATGCAAAAAGCCAAAACACAGTCTCTCCAAGCTCTAGCAAAGTTATTTCTCTCACCTATTGCAAAAAATATGCTAAAGCAAAAATCTTCTTGTTCCACTCGACATCCCGAAAAAAAATTCAGGTAATTTTATGTTATATCATATTTATTTCATCAAAATTAATTTTGTTATATGATCTTTATTGCATCAACATTAATTTTGTTATACCACCATTATCTTTGATTTTTTGTTATGTTATGATGGAATTTATCACCATAATTTTTTATATTTTTTGTCCTTCATTATCTTCAACCCTTCGTGTTTTATTATGTTCATTATTCAACTCTTGAGGATAAGAAGAATCTGTGACACCCAAAATCCGAGGGTCCGTTGATTACCCATCAACCCGCGAAATACTCGTGGATATCGAGTAATTTGATATCACGCCATTATGCTCCATTTACCGGAAACCATAATTTTGACAAAATTCGGGCAGAGTCTCCTTTGTACGGGAAACTCTACCCAAAACTCAACCTGTGTAATCATATAATAACAAGACTCATCCGAGGTCCAATATTCAACAATGACCACACCGAGTCCAATTATAAGTAAACATTGGCCACACCGGGTCCAATTATCCATATTTATATCAACACATGCTAGATTAGTTTAACAATAGTCTATATAAGTTCTATTACAATTATTTGCAAAAGACTGCATGCCCAAAACATTTTTTCCACAAATGTTTTACATTAACACAAAATAAAGCCACATTCGGCTTTCTTCAAACATGATGGTCCAAAGTAGAGCCATCCACCGGTATATCTCTCCTACCTGAAATATTTTTTCGTATAAGGTGAGTCAACGCCCAATAAAATAATCCCTATAGAGGCTACTCTCCACCTTAGGTGCATATGTGATGTGTATTAGCAACAAACAACATTTAACAATCATTCCATACAAGAATATGCATTAAATGTGGAATGTAATCATGTCATACCATGAAATAAGATGATACTCACTCATGCACTTAAACCCAAGTCATCACCGACTCCACGACACAATGCAATGCCAAGGTATACTGAATCCGTCAATTAACGAAAAAATCCACCAAATGATCGTTTGAAATAAAAGTTGTTTTATTATAAAACCAAATCATTGACGGGTGTTACTCATTGTATGAGTACTTTGTAAATCAACATCTTGTGTTTGTTGAGCAACAGATTTTGGATTTTATACCGCCGGTTCCGTACACCATACTACACCTTTCCGAAATTTCACCACAGGGGAGTGTATAACCAAGTCGTCGGGTCTTGTACCCGAGGGGGGA